TCTAGCAATGACGGCGGAAAAGGCTGCAAGAGAAGGAAACATGAGACAATTGTACGAAACAACAAAGAAGCTCGCCGTGAACTATCGTAAACCAGAACGACCAGTGAAAAGCAAGGAAGGGAAAATAATCAGCAACACTGACGAACAGCGAAATAGGTGGGTAGAGCACTTTAAGGAACTCCTGAATCGACCAGCTCCACTGAACCCACCCAACATCGAAGCAACATCCAAGGACCTCCCAATTAATATTGGCGCACCTACGATTGAGGAGATCAGTATAGCCATCAGACAAATCAAGAGCGGCAAAGCAGCAGGACCAGACAACATTCCAGCAGAGGCAATGAAAGCGGATGTAGAAGCAACTGCGAAAATATTTCACATCCTCTTCAAGAAGATTTGGGATGAGGAACAAGTACCATCAGATTGGAAAGAAGGATACCTCATCAAAATACCAAAGAAAGGCGACCTGAGCAGTTGTGAGAACTACAGAGGCATCACTCTTCTTTCAATACCAGGCAAAGTCTTCAACAGAGTATTGTTAAACAGAATGAAAGACTTCGTAGACGCCCAACTTCGAGATCAACAGGCCGGATTTCGTAAGGATCGATCGTGTACTGACCAAATTGCCACATTACGGATCATTGTGGAACAATCAATTGAATGGAAGTCACCACTCTACATCAACTTCATCGACTACGAGAAAGCATTTGATAGCGTGGATAGGAAAACACTGTGGAGGCTTCTTCGACACTACGGTGTGCCTGAGAAAATAGTCAACATCATACGGAATTCTTATGATGGATTCAACTGCAAAATCGTGCACGGAGGTCAGCTGACAAACTCGTTTGAGGTGAAGACCGGTGTGAGGCAAGGTTGCTTACTCTCACCCTTTCTCTTTCTCCTGGTCATCGACTGGATTATGAAGACGTCAACATCTGGAGGGAAGCACGGTATCAACTGGACAGTTAGGGCGCAGCTGGACGATCTGGACTTCGCAGATGACCTGGCTCTTCTATCGCACACTCAACAACAAATGCAAGAGAAGACGACCAGTGTAGCAGCAGCCTCTGCAGCAGTAGGTCTCAACATACATAAAGGAAAAAGCAAAATTCTCCGATGCAACACAACGTGCACCAACCAAATCACGCTTGATGGAGATGCTTTCGAGGATGTTAACAACTTTACATATCTGGACAGCATCATCGACAACCAAGGTGGATCCGATGCAGATGTGAGGGCACGGATTGGCAAAGCGAGGTCTGCATTTCTACAGTTGAAAAATATCTGGAACTCCAAACAACTTTCAAACAAAACCAAAATCAGGATCTTCAATACAAATGTCAAGACAGTTCTACTGTATGGAGCGGAAACATGGAGAACTACCAAAGCCATCATCCAAAAGATACAAGTGTTTGTTAACAGTTGTCTACGCAAAATACTTCGTATTCGTTGGCCAGACACCATCAGAAACAACGAACTGTGGGAGAGAACAAGTCAGATTCCAGTGGAGGAGGAAATGAGGAAGAAGCGGTGGAAGTGGATAGGACACACACTACGAAAAGCACCTAACTGCATCACGAGACAAGCCCTCACATGGAACCCTCAAGGCAAAAGGAAAAGAGGAAGGCCAAGGAACACACTACGCCGAGAAATAGAGAAAGATATGAGAGGAATGAACAAACATTGGACAGAATTGGAGAGAGAAGCCCAGGACAGAGTTGGTTGGAGAAAACTGGTGAGCGGCCTATGCTCCATTGGGGGTAACAGGCTTAAGTAAGTAAGTAAGTAACATTAAAGCGAAAAGGATGAGTAAGTGCGTAAGCGTAAGCAATGCTCAGTCGTATAAGCTCATACAAACCAGATAATAAAAAATAACAATGGTACATATGAGTTGTTGCTATACAAAAGGCTTGGTTACAAGGTTTTAACGTGTTTTCAAATGCACGGACCTCATAATCAGTGCTGACCGACCAAAAATTGAGAAGATTAGTATGGCTACCAGACAGATCAAGAGCGTCAAAGCAGCGGGACCAGACAACATTTCGGCTGAGGCACTTAAAGCAGACATAGAAGTAAATACAAAAATTATTCCACACTCTCTTCAAAAAGATTTAGGATGAAGAACAAGTACCAACAGATTGGAAAGAAGGATACCTGATGAAGATGTCAAAGAAAGGCGATTTCAGAAAATGTGGGAATAGCTGAGGCATCACTCTTCTCCCACTATGAAAAGTTTTCAATGGTGTGCTATTAAACAGAATGAAGGACTTCGTATACGCCCAACTTCGAGACGAACAGGCTTGATTACGTAAACATCAATCATGTACCAATCAAATTGCAACATTACGGATCATTGTGGAACAATCAAGTCAATGGAACTCACCCTTCTACATTAGCTTCATTGACTATGAGAAAACATTAAATAGTATGGATAGGACAACATAGTGGAGGCTTTTTCGGCACTACGGCATACCTGAGAAGGTAGACACGGAATTTTTACGATGAATTAAACTGCATAATCGTTTATAGAGGACAGCTCACAGCCTCGTTCGAAGTAAGGTCCGGAGGTCAGTCAAAAATGCTCATTCTCCCCCATTCTCTTTCTCCTGGTTATCGACTGGATTATGAAGACGTCAATATCTGTGTGGGAAGCACGGGACAAAGGAGACGACCAAGAAACAGATAGATGATCTGGACGTCACAGATTGATCTGGCTCTTCTATCGCACATGCAGCAACAACTGCAAGAGAAGACGACCAGTGTAGCAGTAGCCTTTGCAATGCTAGGTCTCAACATACATAAGGCAAAATCAAGATTTTCCGATACAACACAACACGCGCCAACCGAATCACATTTGACAGGGAAGCTTCTCAGCATGTAGAGATGTTTACACATTTAGTCAGCCTCATTGATGAGCGGGGTAGATCTGATGCGGATATGGGAAGACGCGGATTGGCAAAGCAAGCTCAGCATTTCTACAATTGAAGAATATATCTGAAACTCAAACCAACTATCTATTAACATCAAAGTCACAATTTTCAATACAAAGTATGGGATGGAAACTTGGCAAACTACCAGAGCCATCATTCAAAAGATACAATCGTTTGTCAACAGTTTTCTATGCCAAAGATAAAACAAACCAAATTCAAGCGTAGGAACAGATCAGGAAGGAACACTGGAAAAAGGATAGATCACACATTGAGGAAAGCACCCAACTACGTCACAATGCAAGCTCCTCACTTGGAATCTTCAAGACCAAAGGAAAACAGGAAGACCAAAATACATAATACACTGAGAAATGAAGACAGACAGGAGGAGAACGTACAGACAACCATTGAACAGGCCTAAGAGAGAGTTTGTTGGAGAATGCTGGTCGGTGGCCTATGTGGTCCATTGAGGATAACAGATATAAACACACAAACATCATAAACGCAAATAATAATCGTAATAATAATCATTATTGTAGCATTAAACAGTATTTTCTACTTTTTTAAATTTCAAATCATCAGAGTTGTTTTATTCTGACAAATGATGAATTCTTCACGTTTAATCTTGTCTAATCGTTTTTGATTTTTTAGGAAGAAGTTGAAAAATTCGAAGCTGTTGAAAAAAATTATGGTGGTATTATGCCAAGCGTTTTATCTATTGGTCGAATAGGCAGTGGTGGTTTGTACAGTGGAGGAGGATTGAGTGGGATTGGTGGTGCAGGTGGTGTGGTAGTTAAAGTACCACCAACTGGAGCACGTCCTGAACAAGTATGTTTTTGTCTAGGGCATAATTTGTCACTGTTTTTGTTGTCGGTAGTTCAATTTTTGTAAAGAGTCATACAAATGGTGTTATTGACATTGTGTCGGATAATTGTGTGTGTGGGGGGGGGGGAAGGGAAGGCTGATCACAAAGCGGGACGGACCATACGTTATCATGGAGAGACGCGGCGCGGTGTACACGATCCGAAGAGAAGACAAGCAGAAGCGTGTAAATGCCAGTCAATTGTAGATGTGGTTTCAAGATTATCAGGTGTATGAGTCACGAAAAGCATCAAAGAAGACAGCGGTACGGCGATCAGAAAGACTACAACGACAGCTTATTAAAATGGGGGACGAGCGTGGTGCTAGCTACTTATAAGTAGTGTATGACGCGAGTGAAAACGTAATGTCTGGCAGCAGAAGATGGGGGAAAATGAAGAAACGAGGAGTGGGAACACAATGGAATTTGTATGAAATGTATGAATGAACAGTGAAATGTCAGACAATGGATTGATATTTTGCAAATTAACGATTTACGATATGGTTTTCCTATTTTACTGAGTAACTCTGTAATTTGCGCTAAATACAATTCGGTTGCCCTCACCTGTGTTTGTAAAGAGTCATACAAATAGTGTTATTGAAATTATGCGTCGGATAACTGTGTGTGTTTGTGAGACGAACAGTTGTTCTGAGCAGATTTTTTAGTGATGCGCTGGCGTTTTATGGACTACTGTTCATAGTTTCACATTGATTTGAATAGTTTACAGACGTTAACTTCAAGTTATTGAGCTTCCGTTGTTCCCCGAATGTAATTGATGTAGTGAGTTAGTCAGAAGTGGTCAACTGAAGTCAATTTATAACAATCAAAAGTGCATATCATTCAGTCAAGAAATTGATTCATTTTCTAAGGTGGGGGAAGAATGCATTTACATGAATCAATTCATAACCTAAGTGGACTGCTTCTTCCACCTTTGCCTTCTCGCTCAAGTAACTAGTTTTTGGTGGTAGGGGTTGGTTGAGCAGGTATCACCGTCAGATCTGGCACCTACACCATTACAAACGATTTTGAGCCAGTTTACAGTTTAGATAGAATTGTTTAATGTAGACGATAGGTATGTTATTATGTTACATTATTTGAAGTGTTTCATTTTGGAAAATTGTTTAGGTAGTACATTTTTCATATATATATATAGATATAACAGTAGTATAACGCATCAGTTTGGAGCTATTCAACTGCGAACCAACGAAAGTAATAATTATTATGATAGTCCAGTCAAGTCGATCAAGTCTACAATGTTTTTTTTTGTGTTTCGGCATTGAAGTGAGATACATGGAAAAGTGTTAGTGTAAAGTGTATACAAGTAAGGATGCTTAATTAGTGTACTTATAGTGTAGTGAAGGAGAACACAGGTGAGGGCAACCTTATTGTATTTATCGCAAATTACAGAGTTACTCAGTAAAATAGAAAAACCATATCGTTAATCGTTAATTTGCAAATTATCAATCCATCATATCGAACTGAACTGTTCCTGTTGCAAAACATCAATTCATTGTCTGACATTTCACTGTTCATACGTTTCATACAAATTCCATTGTGTTCCCACTCTTTCTTTCTTGATTTTCCCCCATCTTCTGCTGCCAGACATTATGTTTTCACTCGCGTCATATAGTACTTATAAGTAGAGCGCACCACGATAGTATGAGGATACACTTACAATTGTAAGTACATTTAAAGTTTACTTTCTGAGAAGAAGTAGTTAAGCATTAAGACAGCAATTAATCAATAAGAGCTATTTTATTTCATGGATAGATTGTGATAGATGATTCCAAAGTCTCGAACATTTACTTACTAAATTAAATTTATAATCATAGAGAGGAAATAATATTGTTATTATGTTGTGAAATAAGATTATACTTTGAAAAAAAATTATGATTTTGAGATAGTGGAGAAATTTTACCGCTCAGGTGGACGACTATGGTGTGGTTTCGTTCTCTGAGTTGGGGTTGATTTGGTTGTGGAGCCTTCATCGTTCTTCTACTGAACAACATCATCAGCACAAACTTCCGATAGAAGTGCAGTATTCGAATTTCTCCATCGTTGATTCGTAGCTTGTTCTGTTAACCTCGATCCTGTTTGGTTGCTGTTGACCTTAACCCTGTCGTTGTTTGCATCTTTGTTATGATTGTATCCCCCTTTTGATCTGTTTCTTGGTCCTATATCACCTATGATTTTTCTAATTGTTTGATAAATTGGGTCAATGTCGATGTGTTTGTTGATTGCTGATTGACCTGAGTGCCAAGCTTCTAAAAATTCTCTAGTGTTCTTTGTTCTCCCCCTATCCAGTATTTCCACATTATTCCAATCGAATGTATGTCTATAGTTGTCCGTATGTATTGATATAAGAGAAGAAATAACGTGGCGTTTGACTGCTAATTGGTGTTCACTTAAGCAAAGCTCAAGAAGCCGTCCACTTGATCCTATATTCGTGGTTAACCCACAAGCCTGATGCACATGCACGCTGCTGCTTTTTGGACAACACTAGGATTCACACAAATGCCTAGATTGTCCTGGAGACAAATCGGACATCCAAACAGCACGCACACAAACCCTGGCCCCCGTTCGGGCACTTATGAATCAAATCGACCCCTCCTACCAGTCCACCACCCAAAGTCCCCTATTGGGACGGGTGGCAAGGCGGGCTTACCTAGCTAAACCTGGCACCCCGAAAAGGATTGCCGAGACACCCAGCAGTGCACTGACCTGCAGCAATTCCAGCCCTCTGGCCTCTAACTGCCTTGTGCTGATACAATCGACCGGAGCCCTGAGACCCCACATAGAACAAAAGATCGAGTTTGTCCCACAAGGTCTGCCAGAAGGTAAACCTTCCCATGGGGTAGATGTCATGGACTCGACCAAGTGCAAGCACTCAGCCAAGCAGGGTTAATCCCACTACATAAGTGGGCAGACATCATTTGCGATCAAGTACCCTTTCAGCACAGGATCCCATAACGAAACTGGAGACAACCTCATAGGGTCGGCTTCAATAGTCCAGGATCTTTATGGCTGCTTCCCTAGACAAGTCGTCTAGGGCCACCTTCAAGAAAGCTGGAAAGCTATATCCCTTTCAAGGTATTTGCTACATGCAGAATGAAAGAGGACAATTAGTGAAACCATTATTTCAATGGACGGGATTCAGACTTAAGGGCGTTCAGTCCTAATCCCCCAGAGTGGCAAAACGGCACCCACGGCCTTGCGACCATGAAAAAGTACCATTAATCTGAACCATGCTCGGCACGGCATCCTAAGGGTTCGGAACGGCTTTTAGCCACAGCGCAGTAAACAACGCCACGTTGCCTGGCAGGACCACAATGAGCTAGCCGCCACCACAAGCCCCGAGACGCTCCATATATGCACGTCACCGAAAATACCCGAACACACCATACACAAGTTTGTCTCAGGATAGCAGAAGGTGCAACCCAGCTAGATTAAAACACGCCCAAACACTCCTGACACCTTCGGATGATGAGGCATTTGGCTACCTTAAGAGCGTCATAGTTACTCCTGCGTTTGATTTATAATTGGTGTTTACATAAGCGAAGCTCAAGATGCCGTCTACTTTGTCCTATGTAGTGTTTTTCTTACTTACTTACTTACGCCTATTAACCCTCATACAGCGAATGCCGTCGACCGGCGAATTATTGTTCTGGTAAGCGTTTTCTTTCTTATGGAGTTGAATTTCTACGGGATGGGATCGTTAAACGCCCCCCACCCACGCTCAACTCTCCTCCAGACTTGAGACCGGCAGTACTAACCCCTAGACTAACTACAGGCGGAGTTTTCAAAATTCTACTAGTGATCAAATAATTCTACCTTTGTTCATTAATCAATTTCATTAACTTTTATCTTTTGCAGGTCATTGCATTAGATTCCGACTTACGACCTATGGATACAGGACATGAGAGTATGAGTTTATTTTCACCAAGTATTGCACCCACTAATAATAACAATTATTATTATCCCGCGAAATCATTAGAAAAACAATCAGCACATGTAAAGAATAGTTCTTCTTCTTCTGAATTACTAGACAAACAAACATCATCAACAAGTCAAGAAACACCGTTGTATGTCAATCAACCAATGAAAAACTATGCTCATCCTTCCCATCCACATCGCACACAACAACACTCTAACACTTCATCATCCTTATTGTCATCCAATATACGATCTCATTCACCATTATTGAATCCTCATGAACAAGATGACGGGGAAGCAGATGACGGGGAAGCAGATGTTGACGATCGATATCGTACCATGTTATCTGGGAATTCCGACAGACGGAATACAATGATTCGACGTGACAATGATAATAATAATAATAATAATATGCCATCTCAATATCGTGGACAGTCAATAATACCAAGATCTCAACGTGATTATCATCAACAACAACAAAATGCACGTTATCCACATTATTGAATATTGAACAGAAATTGGTTTTGTTTGTTTTACTATTGTGATCGAAGTTATTGACAGTGTATCATATAAAAAAAGTGTGTGTTTAGTTTTTCAATTCACAGAAAAAATTAATTTTTTTATGAATAAAGAAATAACAGTGAAATATTAGCTGTTGAGAGTAAAACAACTTTTTTTTTAAAAAAAAATAAGCTTTGAAGACCGTGAGTTAGTAGTGTATGTGCGTCGATTTTACTGCATGTTATTAAGCTCAGTAATTAATTAACTCGTTCAGACAATCGTTGCCAAATAGCGTCTGACGATTTATAAATCAGAAGATGAATTCGTAGTGATGAATACGTTGATTTGGGACACACCACAAAGCGAAGTTGAAAATCAGCGAACAAAGCGTACGAAACGACATGAATTGGAGAAGGCTAATGAGCCAACTCCTTGGATTACAATGCGAATGAATGGGCGAAGGAAGCGAACGAATAGGCGAAGCGCGTTGGAGAAGGCTAATGAGCCAACTCAAAGGAATAGAGCATGACTAAGAATATATATAGTCAGACAAACATAAGGCAGACATATAACAAGCGAAATAGGCGTGCACACACACGAATAAAGGCGACGAATGATTGACAAGGTCAAATGACAAGTGGGACATGTCATGTGAGCGAGCTCATACAAACCAGACAATAGTAATAAGAACGAATGGTACAACATATAAATTGTTGCTATACAAATGGCTTGGTTAAATAAATTAATCGAAAGGACTTAACGAGGTTAGATGTAAGCGAACTGGAATATATGTGGAGGCGCTACAAGTTCACTATCTGTCGTGGTTCTTACTTACTTATTTACGTCTGCTAGGCATAGATCAGTGACTAGCAATCTTCAACCAATTCTGTCTTGATCTCTTTTTTTTCCAACTGTTACGAAATACTATTGATACTTTTCATGTTCGGCTCCAATTATCGGAGCGATGTGTTCTTTGGTTCGCTCCCCTATTCCTTTGGCCTTGAGGATTTTTAAAGTGAGAACTTGTCTTGCAGCATAGTATTTTGTATGATTTGCGAAATCGGTGCCCTATCCAACTGCAGCATCACTCCCTACTTTCTTACTCAGCTGAGAGTTAGTTTGTTATCTGACTTGCTGGTACGGGTTTAGTAGATTGGAAGAGAGCTTGGGGCGGCCAAACCAAAACATGGCACAAATCCATGAAATTACTGACAAGTGGACTGAGTCATGTCAGCAGATGTAGGCTACCTGGTTGGGGTCCGTGAGACGTAAGTCACCGATGGTTATAGACCTTGAATGACATGGCTCAGAATCGTTTGCGATGGCGCAAGTGCATCCACTCTTTGTGTTCTCTCAAATTCTAACCTTCTGAACTCCTCATAATCTCTACCTTTCTCCTTCTAAATTTATCTTACTGAATTATACATCTTGAATAATATCTTTGAATCCTAATCTTCTCCATTGCTGCTAATACTTCTATTATTGCTATCACTCTTGGATTTGAACTGACAGTTGCGTCTCTGTGTTGATGTGGTATGTCAACCTGAACTGATGTACCTACTTACGAAGTTCTGCGTTGTATCTGTCTGTCTGTTCTCTGGCATAGTAGATAATTGTTGATGGTGTCTGACGACCATTGGATGTGAAGTAGTATCTTGGGTTGGCAACTGTTAATAAACACCTTTATCTTGTGGATGAGGATGGTTTCGAAGTTCTCCATGTTTCCATTCCATATTGAAAGTTCTATTAATTTTATGTTCGTCACTACGTACGCTTGAAGCTATTACGAGTTCACCTTAGTCCATAAACGCGAACGAGACAATTACCAGCGTCCAGGTAGGCTACCCTGGTCTGAAACGGCTAAAGAGAAGTCTTGATATAAGAGTAGAAAGTATATTCTAAAAACACCCAGCAATCACTGCACAATCAAGCACACAACTCTAGTTTATTTATACATCATAGAAACGTCCTTGGGACAGTTAAGAAAATAGCATACTAAAATACACAGCAGCCAATCACAGCCATGGATTTTCAGGGTGGGAAATGAAATCTCAAGATCAAACGATCACTCCATGCTGGCAAACGTGAAAACCAAAATAAGGCATTTATCCAGCGAGTTTTGGGGATCTAACATCCCGAACAGTTAAGGTTCTAAGAGCATGTTGTTGCAGAGTTTCATATTACCAACCTGGTAGATGCTATTCAAAAGTTGTCTTATAAATAGCAGGTAACAGAGTGTTGTCACCTGGAAGTTGCTTCTAGAGAATAAAGTGTGTAAATCAAGTATTTTAGCAGAATAATAACAGCACAAAATCATCTTTATTTCATCTAGTTCTCATAACAATAAAATGTTCTCATCAAACTTAACTTCTGTTTATATTGATTAGTTTGAAAAGGAGAATCACCGTTGTTTTTATTTTCAAAATATAACTAATACTACTAACAAAATGTATAGTAGTAAATGTTTTAACACATAAATTTAGTCAAATTTTTTCCAAGCAAGTAGATAATCGAAATTTTTCAGTCACAAGTAGACTATGGATTGATCGAAGTTAGACATGAACACCGTTGGATACCGGCTCAGTGGTGTAGAGGTTAATCGTTCACGCACAAGACAATGTCATGGGTATGAATCACGCGATTTGTAGGAGTTGTGAATGCTCACTACTGATATGTCCTGTACTAGGACAAAACGACCATCTTGTGCTTCCAGATTTCTAACATTGATTGATTCATGATTTCACAGAAGATTTAAGTGAAAAATAAGTATTAGGTTCGAAGATATCACAGATATTGAGAGTTCAACAATACTTTTATGCGTAACACCTTTCAGTTGTAGAATGCCCGAAACCAGGACAAGCCAGAAGTAAGGAATGAGTAAGATTGAAGGTATATTTGAGGGATGGTTGTGGTTTTTAGCAGTAATTGAACTAAACCAGCTACTTGATGCGAAGAGATGCAGTGAATTTCTGAACCAATCGCGAACTGGTGCGAATGCATGACTGACCGCTTTGAACTAGAGTGTAGTCAGCATCAATATAGAAGACATATAGAACAATATATTTAGGAGATGTATTTGTCAACAGACGGTTGTAAATTCCATTTAAGTATACTGATAGTCCTATTATTGTTATTATCTATTGAAATCAGGAATCGACAATCATCGGAAACCTGGAAGCGCCGTGTTTAGATAGCCAATTCATCCTTGTAAGGGACTCATCAGCAGTGAACATGCGCAACATTTCACTAGGGAATCGAGTCTAGGGTCTTAGGTTCTACATAACAACATCTAATCTCTTGACCACTGAGTCGGCGGCATCCAACAGAGTTAACTTCTAATTTCAATCAGTCCATGATAGTGTGCGACCGTCATCTTTGATATTTTATTGAGTAAAATTTTCCAATAGTGATTCTAGCCAGTTTGAGAAATAGAAGTCTTAAATTTGAACGTTGAAAGTTTACTCAAAGTTTTGATACTTTGAACTGTAAGTAGATGATCTGTTAAGTAATTACTCAAAGTGAGCTATCAAGTTGGTTAGTCACGGACATAAGAAATAATCACTCATGACTTTGAGTTTATTTGTTACACATGCGCGTGACCAATTCCTTTGATACGCTTGAACTATTTCCAGTTCACCTTAGTCACTAAAGTCGAGCGAGGATTGATGGTCCGGCGACATGACAGGCTACTCTAATCCTAGCGTCCTTAACCACACCCTCATAGAGTAAAAGAAGAAGACTTGATATGAAGTAGAACGTGTATTCTACACAAGCATCCAGAAAGTACTAGGCTAAGGCCCCTGGACTAAGGATCCGGGTCCTAAAACTTTACAGGTAAATCATATTTATACAGTTAGGTCGAATATGAAACAATATTGAAGTATGTGACACTGGATAGTTAGGATGACCAATAAGAATTGACCAGTAGAACTAGACTTACAAGTAATTCTCTCATGGTATTGGATGTATATTCTAATATATTTGACCTTGATATTTTGTGTTTGCTAAGCTATTAACCATTGAAAATTGTAATTTTCTTACTGTGTTACAAAAAATGCTCGAAATGATGGAGTGTAGTTAATCCCTTGCGAGTTTTATATTCTCAGCTTGTAAACTAGTCGTCATACGAAGGTAAAACTAAATGTGTGCAGAGAAAATCAAATATGAAATGATTTTTTTTTATTTAGAAGACTATAGAAACTTTCTTTTATCACTGTTCCCCTTTTCGTCTACGAATGTACACATGAGACATTGAATTGGCAATCTGTTTCAATATCATGGCTACCTATTTGGTTAACATTAAAAATATTTTAACAGGTGACGTGTGCTTGTTTAGTTTAACGAGTCCATTATGTTTGTTGATCGAATAATTTATTTAGGCACGAATATAAAAGTTTTATGAGCCAACGTAGACATTTTAGTGGCTGGCAATATGCTGAGAAATGAATGAACCTTAACTGGATGTTGATTTCTGAACTGCTTACTCCAAACCACCAATCACTTACTTACTTACTTAAGCCTGTTACTCCTAATGTAGTATAGGCCACCGACCAGAGGATTATTTTTCTGGTTAGCATGTTTTTAGCGAGTCGGATTTCTACGGCATGGGGTCGATTGCCTCCAGTCCAACCCTCCTTCCTTATTTAGGCTTGGGATTGGTAGGAACACTAGAAGGGCTTCAAGCGAAATGACTGTCAATCACTCATTGTTTAGTAACGAAAAATGGTCAAAATATTTTTTGCTGAGAATTCCATATTGTATCAAATATATGAGATTGGATAGAGCCATTAATAGAATTATTATTATCAAAACAGAAAAACCAGAGAGAAGTAATGGAAATCGTCTTTTTCCCTCATACATAGTATGATAGTTTTATGGGTTATTTTGTGTGTAAAAACCGCAATCTGTTTATTTACAAACTACCGACATAAAATATCCTACTTATCGAAAAAAGGGTTATATATAACGTTTGATACTCAGTACGAGAGAGATTTGAAAATTTTAATTTACGAGATATTAACCAGAAGATCAATTGCTCCCGGAGTCCCTCTTGTGCTACTGCCGATCCCAAGTCCGAATAAAGGAGGAGGGTTGGGAATGGGGTTTACGACCCTATCTCTCAGAAAATTAACTCCCTAGAAAAACGCTAATCAGAAAAAATGATTCAAACCAGACGATCACTCTCTGTGCTTAAGGTTTGAGGAGCTAAGTTGTAGTATCAATGATCATCACTTTTAACGTGTACCTTAATCTCTTTCACAGTGTATACCACGTGTTTCCTACATTCATTGATAATTCTATTCTCTAAAATATCCTTAAAACCTGTAAAATATAACTGATCTAAATTTATGCAGTAAAATTTACATGAAACAAATATTTTCTGAATAATTTTAAAATTGGTTTTATTAGTTTCGTCTGATCAGTGTTTTTTTCAGTAAGGTTGTGTTTTATGAGATAGAATTGTTAACATCATACCCAAACTTCCTTGTTTATTCGTGGTTGTAACCGGTAATAACTTTGGTAGGGCTTCCAGAGGAGTGTTAGCTAAACCACTCGAATTGTGCAGATAACTTAGCTCCTCTATCCTGTACACTGCAAGAAATATGAAAAAAGATTTCCACTCTTGTGGCAGACTCAGTAATAACAGGACTAAAAATTACGATCCCCCGAAAAAACTCAGCCAGTATGAATCAGACCACATTTGATGGAGAAATTGTGCAGTGAGTGTAAACTATAACGTACTTGGACAGGATTACTGATAAGCTAGGAGGATCTAATGCACATGTGAAAGGATACGTTGACAACATAAAGACAGTATTTCTCAAATTAAAGAACATCTTGCTACGATTGCATGTGAACAAGTCAATTTGATAGGCTTGAACTAATACTAGTTTACCTTAGTCAGTAAACGAGAGTGAGGATCGAGGACCCGGCGACACGATAAGGTACTCTAATCTGAGACGTCCCAAACCCCCATTGCTGAGTAAAATAGAAGATTTGATATGATGTAGGCCGTGTATTCTACAAGCATCCAGAAAGTATGATGTCTGAGTCACGAATAGTGTCAGGATCCCAGACTAAGGATCCGGGTTATTAAAACCTTACAGATAATGTACAGGTAGGCCGAATACGAAACAACATTTGAAGTCTGTGACATTGATAGTCAGGACCACCATACTATAGACCAATGAGAATTAACCAATAGCAACTGACCAATAATTCTCTTAGGATATTGAATGAATATCCTAACACATTTCGAACTCATAATCACCGTCACCCAACACCAAAGTCTCAATTATCAATGAAAACATGAACACGCTTCTATCGTATGGAGCGGAACATTGGAGATCCACCTAAAAACCATCATCATCTACCTAAGACACGTCACATCCTTCGGCCAGATACCACCATCAACAGTGATCTACTCTGAGAGAGAGGAAATGTACTACAGACAGCACATAACCACAACACATCCCAAATCATAAGCCTTAACTTGAAATCTTCTAGACCTAAAATTTGGGAGGCGGGAGGGAACAATGTGAAATAAAAACAACAACTAGATGTGTAAATTTTTTTCGTAATTTATTATAAGTTCATCAGTATTTCATTCAGAACAACAACACCATCATATTTCACCGACAATGACAATAACAACATACAAGAAAAATATGGAATTTAGAATCAAAGTTGACATTGTCAATGTATATATATATATATATATATATATATGTAGATATATGTAGATATGGATATTATTTACAAAAGTTAATTTTCATGAACATGAACAAGTTGAAATCACTGTCAAGAATCATAATAATAATAATAGTACTGATGATCAGAACAATGATACACTAGATAGGTGTAAATTTTATTGACAGTTCGTTAGTTCGTTAGTTAGTTAGATAAATATCATCTATTTTCCTGTATTGCTTAGGTGTAGTATCGTGACGAAACGAAAAGGGGAAATCGAAAACAATGTTACTACTTCACATGTAAGAGTAGACTGGATCGGAATGGCAAAAAAACGCACGCACACACTGCACACTCACACATTTCACAAACAGACTAAACTGCACACACTGTATGCTATATGTATGCTGCATATATCAAGTATACTTTTTATGAATTCAAAAGAATGAGAGTGTACTGTTCAATGTTCATGTGTATTACTGATAAACAAACACACGCACACACACACACAGAGAGCTACACATACGCACATATTGAACAATTGAACGAACAAACAAAAACAAACAAAAAGGTAAACAACATGGAAAATGCGCGAATTCAAATTTTCGCGCGAACACATCTATTTATATAGATATATTTGTTTAAAATGTATCACAATTTAGCATTGAACCAGCCATATTGATCATTTGTTTGTCTAATTAAGAATCATGTTTATCTAATAAATTATCTGTAATACTATTATGTGGTGAACTTAACCATTCTTCCAGCGAGACAGATAAAATTGAATGATTTTGTTTTTGCGCTTCAATTCGTTGTTTGTATTGATTGAATTCAGCATCTTTACGTTGCATTAAACGTCTTCTTGAACCAGCCTAAAATGATTCAATAAAGTTGGAGTTAGAATTAATTTGAAATTAAGACAATAGTTGACAGAGATTAACTATATAACATATGACTCCGCTACTGAGAATCAAATGAAGGGTTTTCAGTCATGACTGAAAATATTTAACCTCTAAAACACTGAGCTACCATCTCAAAAGTAAATAAATTTAACCTCGACCAAATCATGAAACGGCTAGATGATCTCTTATTCTCGTCGATGGGTGTATTGTCCACTTGGTTGGCAGTGTAGTGAGTGTTCTGCCTTGGTTACTAATATTCATTCGTCTCCTGACCTTGTCAGCTGTACGCTTTTATCTTAGTTTTCTCTATTGGAGTGTGTGTGTGTGCACCGCTTAATTAGCTTATTACGTGTAAAAGTTATTTTGCCTGACTATAAATAAGGAGTCATGCCTCATAGTATGGAGTTGGCTTGTCCGGCTCTCCACTTCACATCACCTTGTCTGTATGCTTTTCTTTCTCGCCTGCCCCCTAAATGCCTTCATAAACGAGTGCTTGTAATAAACTCATCCAACGGAACCCGTATCTGGCTTCTAATTACCACAGTCACATAAACGGTGCTAGACTAAGTATGACATACGGAGATTGAATAGGAGATTTATTTCATAGCATATTTGAACGTTCTTAAATAAAGGACTGAGCACTCGGGTCACTAAATTCGTGAGCCTCACGATGAATCTAACGCAGTTACCTCCACCATAACAGTTACCTTTCTAACACAATTTAAAACCAGATAAAAATGAAATTATAGTTGGTGAGTCCATTTCACAGAACTGGAAATCACTGCTTTTACAGATATATCTGAAACTGACATTCACATCACATTTTCCGAAGGTATTTTTCCTCATTTTTTAGATATTTCATCATTCTATTGTTTCATGATGTTGTGTATACTACTCACAGTGTGGCTTATAAGTAGCATGAAGTGGATTTGCAGTGAAGTGTGTATGATCCAGATGTATGGAACGTTCAGGACACTTTAAAGATTAGAAGACACGTATTAGAAGTCGACCAAAAATATCCTTCCTTTTGGATAGAAGATTAAAGATAATGTGTACACTTTTAGCCAGTCATTTGTATCTTATTCAAATAATCCACTGATTTGATCTAATCTTGCCGTAATCGTTCCTTACAACGATCCTATACTATGTAAACAACTGGAAAGTGGCTAGTACAGACTAATATCAGTAGAAATTCAGTTAATATTCCGTTTTATTATGTTGTTCAAATTAAAGACCAAATCCATATAACTGGTAGATAGTGACTTTGTAAACAGAATGATACTAAATTGTCTTTTCCTCTTTTGTACACTATGAATCGATTCCATGCAACTATTTTCACTAACAGATATCAGTAGTATCATTTAATATGTCTGAATTTTTTCCTGAACATGTTTAAGAATACTTCAAACAACTAGATGTGATTTTCACTGAAAATAAGTTATCAGACAGACCGAACGAATGAAAAGTAAGATAAATTTTAGAAAAGTCCTCCTGTGACTTTTTCCAGGAGTTTCAGAGTATTTTACAGTGAGTAGATCACCAACAGCTGCCTCAATCATATAAAAATAATTTTTCAATTAGAGTTATGCAGATTAGTGTTTGTTGCACATTCAAATCATCAACATGGAAGCACTGGATAGCCGTTTCGTCCTGTTATGGGACTCATCCGTGTCAGTGCACATCCATGACTCCTGAACCTCGCAGGATTCGAACCCATGAACTTCGTTCTTGCGTGTGAACGCCTAACCACTCGCCCAGTGGTCAAACAAAGATTGATTGATGATTTCAACAGAGAAATAAGTCGTTAAAATGTAGAAAACTATTGATTATCTGTAATATTCTCTAATTCTTCATAACACTGTACTGTTAGTCATTATTATTACTATTAGGAACAATGAAATAAGTGCACATATATATATATTTGTAAACTTACATCTAAATAAACAGTTAGCCCAAATAACACAGAACCAAGACAATAACAACTGAGTAAACTGTACATAACATAATGTTCATATTCTAAAAATTTTGGTTTTGAAGCAGATACAGCACGAGCTATTGCATGCCATACAGTAAGAACAACAAGCATGAAAAAATTCACCAAGACAACTTTATCCTATTAGGAGAGAAAAAAATGAATAAAACATTTTTGAACTACTTATAAGTAGTATATATTTTATAGACATATTAAGCGGATAAATGAAAAAGGATGATATCATTGTCGGAAGTTATTATTGCAGGATCTTATAACACCTGAAAATAAGATCCGAACTCACTGAAGATAAATTATATACTGAACTTTCAGTTTACGTTATGTATACTTTGATAAATTTCATGAAATCAAGTGACCTTGAGAATATAACACATCATTTTGTTCTGTATATCATTTCAGTTGTTAAGAGACATTCGGAGTGTCCTTGAAGTTATGAGTATCAGACTAGTTAAATTTCGTCATCAAGAACCAATGTCAGTTTGAAACAATCAATGCTCCCCAATGCGTTTCATATTTGTGATTGACTTGTCTGGTGGGATACATACAGACCTGAAATGGTTAATCACTCAACAGAAACCAATGCTATCAATTGGTGATCAGGGAATTCGTTTGGCGGATGTTCATTATAATCATTAGATTAAGTATTTTAAAGTCAGAATGCACTCTTTTACGTATCAAGTGCTTAAACATCATCAGTGTAAAGCTACTTCTGAGCTGGGAGTCATGACATGTGATGTTTATAACCAAAAACGGCCCCAAGTTTTGAAGTGATTCATGTAAGATGAAAGAACAAGTTACAACTGGATCAGTAATAATAAAAATTCTAAAAAGCGAACGAAAATTTGCTGAACGAACCAGCACACTGAACACTTTTGTGAAAAAAGTGGTGTAAGTTTGTAGGACAAGTTGAGCTATTAAAGTTGGATGAGTTTTCTGATGAAGCTTTCGTTTTCGAGGAAGAATCATGAGCTAATGATATTTTTTAGCAAGTTAGTGAAGCGCTCAATGCTAAACCATCTTCATGAAAGAGTATAAAAATATCTGAGATTCATAGTTGGAATGATAAATAAAATCTTTCATTTGAAAAATGCGCATGTTGGTCACGTTTTTGTTATGTGGTATTTTACAAGAAGTATAATTTTTGTCAATTACCACTTTCAGAATAAATCTCTCTCCATAAAAATAGATATGATGAGGATCGCTAACTATGTACCTTTCAGGAGGCCTCCAGAGACCCTTATTTGGTCAAAGGTGAGAAAAGTCCCTTAGTCTTACACAAATCCTGTCACATAGCTATGAGTATATAGCTACTACAAGCGAAGTTCAACAAACTACCTTCTCACAGCCCAGGTTTCATCTTTTAAATTGTGAAGACGAAGACTGAATGTTTGCCTACGGTTTAAACTGGGTAAGTAGACACAAATGATCTATCTAGGAAAGTTGGAAAACTGATTCAAAATAAATGATACACATGGGCTCCAGAATCCACAAGAAACAAACGGCGTATTGACATATTGTTGGTCACTAGCTACCGTGAGATTGCATCTCCCTACGGTGCTCCATGTTCTTGTGGATTAGACCCTTGGATCAAAGGTTCGGCGATCGATCTCTCAACAATGGTTTTAGTTTGTGCACACAAACAGTCTCCAAGCACATGAACAAATTCAATTATTTTTATGGAGCACAAAAGTACATAAAGTTTTTTATCCGACCAAGATGATGACATATTTCAAATTGTGTGTGAGGTTTATTACTGAACCGAACAGTTTCAATTTTCAATAGATAATCTCGGTTTATTAAAGCGTTATGGACGTCAGTCCACAAGAAATCTCATTTCATCGTATTATCACACTTCAATTCATGATACAAACCTTTATATTTAGATTAATATATAGTTTTAGAAAATTTATACAGTCTCCAAACAGCAGTGTCGTCATCAAATTAAATTTTACAAAAAATCCAGAGACCACATTTTGCGAATTTTAGAATAAATCTGATAATTGTTCACACATTTAGAATATACTGACAAATCCAATCGAGTTTCTTTTGGAATAAACTGATAACAAACAGTTCGTCAATAACTTCATAAATTCAATTTATTTGTGTAATATTTATCAGAGTGTTGAATAGCAAATGCATATTATTACATAAAACACATAAATTATGTTTCAACGGTAATTTTATATTAGTTTTCAGGAGAACTAGACACTTTCACGGTATTAACACCTTGGAGTGAACGGTATAGCTTAGTCCTATAGCTCAACCATCCAGGGACCTGACATCGTACCCAAAAGCCAAAACTTTTCACAATTAAACTAAACTACTTATAATTGATTAAAGTAGGATAAAAACCAATTGTGATTTTGTCACGCTAGCTAGGTTTATTTTTAATTAAGCTTGGATATTTTTTCTCATCAAAATGTCTTTAAATTTTTTCATATAATTTGTTTACAATGTTTAGAATTTTTCTTATCAAACAATAAAATTTTCATACTCATGAATTTATTTTAATTGTAAGTGAATTCCACTACTGTATGACTATGAATTATATTGGTGCATTGATATTCTATCTGCTCAAACAAACACTTATTATTGATTAAACATGAGATTGTAAAAGGAAGATTTGTTTCATCGATGAGTTTTGGTACATTTCGTCTTATTATTTGCATACTGAACAGTGAAATTCTACAATATCTTCATTGATCAATTACATAAAACATGTCATTCATGGAAATGAGTATTGTTGAATTGATTTCAGTAAATGATGAGAGCCTCAATAAACGTTACTGTTCATATCTTGTAAACAACAATCGAAATGGAGTACTGTTTTTGGTCTATTCTGTGGTCTCCTTTGACTACTGAACATTATTTGTACTTTTTTAGATATTAGATATGTATTACTGGGTTGTAAAGATTGTTAAGTTAAACATTTTTGAAACCATGAATCGTTCAATGTTAGACCACCATTAGAAAGCTGTGTGCTGTGGGACTCCTCGGAAGTGCGCATCCACGGCTCCTGCACTCCGTGGGATTCGCACCGACGACCCTCGGTATTGCGCGCGAACGCCCCATTCGTCAGACCACTGAGTCGGTGTATGGACATGTGTTCAACCACTGTTACTTGTACACTATGAATACTCGTCGATATTCAAAGTTTGTTTGCGCAAATACATGTATAGATACTCAGAAGACGTCTGAATTTCATTTCAATCCAATCTCTCAATACACAACTAAATATATAAAAATACATGAATCATGCTTCAGTGTAATTTCTACAGATTGAACATTTAACTCATATCAATCAAATTAAAACTTTTTTGTTTGTGATTTTTCAAATAATTTATAATTGTCATTTTAATCAGTCGATTTTGATTTCCACAATGTGCTTTTCAATATTATCATCCTTAAATGTTATACTAGAATTATGATAGATGAAGTGAAAGGTCATAAGTTAATAATGAATGATACCGTGTCATATTACTGAACATTTATAATTGAAATTTTCACTATAGGACTGTGGGGATTATTGAGGTTAATTGAAATCAGGAATCGATCCATGTTAGACCATCATCAGAAACCTCGGAGCGCTAGACGGCGGTTTCGTCCGAGTGTGGAGCTCATTAACAATGCCCATCCTAGATTCTCATTCGTGGTAGTCGAACCAAGGACCTTCAGTCTTGTGCATGAACGCTTAATCTCTAATCCAGTGATCGGGCATCTAACGGTGTTAATATCAAACTTTCATCAATCCACAGTCTTGTGCAACCTCATTCGCTATCTTCAATGATCACTGCTTCATACGCGACACGTTTTCTACTTAGTGCTTCCAAGTTTCCGAATAGTAGTTTAACATTTATCATTTCATGATGTCAATATTTAAAATTGACTGAAGTTTTTTAAAAAGCGTAAAAACTGGTGAAATTTAAAAATGTTTTCATTATTTATTTCTAATTTCTAAAATCATGACGTAATTTTTATTTAATGTACAATTTTTTAAAGAAAAAAATATATCTGATATTAGCCTACTATAAAAATGAACTACAAGTAGTATAAATCTTTACAAAGAAAAAACATCATTTTTTAAACACACACAAAAGTTTAACTGAAATTAAACGACTACATTTTATCTTCCTTAATAGGAGAAAAATGTAAACTATATATTATTATCACTGACAGAGATGGATGCTGGCTAGCAGTGGAATCCAAGACTGGAGTTTCATCTGTAGTTGGATATATCTGCTAGCCAATATCAGCCTCTGCAAATAAAGCTTACAGCATGAAAGCATGACTGTAGCAATCTGGACAGGATGTGCCAATTGCAGTTCCGAAACATATGACGTGATAATTAGATTTAGTGTTACCTAAATATTTAATAAACTAGTCAACTAAAACAATGTATACATCCTCTATATATTGAATAATGATCATATTCAATTATTTTAAATTATATCTTAGGACAGTGAATCGTGATGAAATCCAAGAAATGTATTTTGCCCAGTTTTAGTTAGCTTGATTTGTCAACATTTATGACTACCTTACTACGTTCCTTCCTTCCTTCCGTCCTTACTTACTCACTCACTCACTTACTTACTTACTTACTTACTTACTTACTTTCTTACTTACTTGCTTATGCACTTATGCACTTACTTACTTACTTAGTTACTTAATTACTTATGCCTGTTACCCCTGAATGGAGTACAGATGCCCAACCAGCTTTCTTCACTCAATTCATTAACTCACTCTGCTTTCCAGTTCAAACCTATATTTTTCATGC